AATCTTCCTTATATAGTTAGCTGAGTAGGTGTGAAAAATGCCATACAGAAGGAAAACTTCTTGAATCCCAGGCCTTTGTAGTAACTTCCTTGCTTTTCAAGAAAAGATTGCTTAAAACAAGTAAAGTTATCTAGGAATTGTGCGGAAAGATAATGTAAAAGAAGGCACAAATGCTTGCATATTTCTAAAATTTTACTAATAAGCAATACTATTGAATACAATCAATATTAGCTCCAAGTGGAACTCAAAGTAATGGTAAAGACATGAGACTCTTGAATCACACTGCCTGGGTTAGAAATCACGCCTCTGCCACTGTTATCTAGATCAAGTTACGTTTACATTCTGTCTACCTCAGTTTTCTCACTTATAAAATGATGTTACATGCCTCACAGGACTATTATGAGAATTATATAACATATATACTGCATTTAGAACACTTCCTAGCTCACAGTTAATATCTAAGTAACAGTTACTGATGCATGGTAACCCAAGTTCCTCTCTTTGTGACATCCTTCTATTCCTCTCACACTCGTTAAGTTCATACTGCTTCTAAATTTCCATACCAAAAAACAATGAACATATGAATCTGTAATTTAATTACTCCATCACAGTCAAAACTACTAGAACTAATTTTCTTTTACATATTAGGCATTATTAACATTCCACTAAATAAAAATATAAGCGCATAAAAGTATGAGGATGATAGAAAGAATGCTGTCAAAGCACAGAACAGAACGGCTAATTTTATGTTTTAAAAATGGGGACAATAATATATTTATGGTTATATATACATAAAACAAACTCTGGATAATTTCATGGTTATTTGTGGAAAGAGAGAACTGCATGCCTTTGGGAAAGGGGTATGAAAACTGTTCACTGTATGTGTCTTAATATTTTTCAAATTTGAATCTGCAAATGTATTACCTGTACAGGAATTTCACTGAAAAGTGGGGGAGGGAGAACTCTAAACTCTAGAAAACTAGCCTCAACCTGCCACTATGTTACCTGGTGCAAGTGATTTAACCTCTGAGTCTCAGCTGGACAAAGTAAGGAGCAGCAGCAAAGATTTCTATTCTATTTCTAAAACTGCATCATCTATGAAGGGAGTAGTAAATAGATGGCATTACATATTTTTTGAAGACATCAGAGTTACTAGTCCAACATTTTACAAAACAAGGCAACATAGTTTTCAAATACTATTTTACAGTTTTAACTGGAGAATTTGTCAAGTCTATTAACCTTTCAAGATCATCTGTACTACTTTTACATAAAAACGGGATCTAATGTAAGAAGGGATCTAATGGAGCTAATAAAGGAATCTTTATAAGTAATACCTATAAAGAATATTCTGCACATTATTTTGTTTCTCTTGCCACAATTCTGAAAATGTTGTAAATGAACTTTAAGTCCTTAAGCCAGGCCATGGAATGAGCAATGAAGTACACTAAAACAACCCACATTTAAGAGACATAAATAACTATATCGAGAAGTTTATATTACTTAATGGTGTTTACTATCAGACACTATGAAAAAAATAACACCTCTAATCAACAATAACAATTATAAATAATTGAGTATATGAAGACAAGTAACAGCATAAAGCCACAGTCTCACTGCGAGCAGAGCTAGGAGCCCACCTAGACTCTTTGGATCTGAGCTCAGTACACCCAATAGGTTACTACTTAATGTCAGCTGGCAAGCCCTTGAACATGTGCAACAGAGTTTTCATTAAAATAAGGGGAACAAAGTATAATTTTTAATAAAGCTAAATGATTAAACTTATAGGTATTCTATTCTGATTCTTTCAAATTATTTTAGTTAAAATATCCCTTTTTTTAATGAAGTGAAGGTCACAGTAGACAGTGGTGTGACTACCCAGCAGAACCACAACAGAAAACTGCCAACTACATACAACCTCTGAGTTTGGGGGCGGGGCGGGGGGGGGAATATTTCTTTAGATATCCAAAAGTTTGAGAACTACTCCTTTAAGCAACCATACCTTCCAGAATACTAAACGACTTCACACACGCACACGCGCGCGCGCGCACACACACACACACACAGTGTCTCATTAACCTCTTTGGTTTAGGACACTTAGGATTGAGAAATGAGAAATGAAGTGAGTTCAAGCAATTCAAAATCACATGAATTAACACTGGATTCTGGAAGGATTCTTTTCACCTGCTAACTTTTCCATCCTTTATTTTCAATCCTACTCTCAAACCTCAGCTCAAATGTTCTTTTCCTATAGTCACATTTTTTAATACTACCGCATGGCAATCAATATTTAAGTCAAATAAAAAGAACTATACTTGACGTCTTCAAGATCTGCTTTTATTTAATGCATTTTTTCACTTTGACAAAATAAAAACTTTGAATATTTATTCTACTTACTTCCAAAATAAAATTGGTCTATAAATAAGATTCAGACCACTTTTAATTTCCAAATTTCTATATCTCTATTAAAAAAGATATGTTCATATGTATACATATTCCTACATATTCCTACATATACATATATTCCTACATATACATATATTCCTACATATACATATGGTTTTACAAGCAGTTTATAAACAGGATGATCAAACTGGGTAAACTTCTCGAAAATACCTTTATTGCATATAATGATAAATAAGGTATGTACTCCCTATTGTGTTATTTCTTACCTATCCTCCTTTAGGGACTAGCAAATATTTTATGCGCACAACTACACAAACACTAGTTTCAGTCACAACATATCAATTTAATATTTAAAACTATAAAGAGATCCAGTGAGTCATATATTCTTACATAAACAGCATAAAATATGCTACTGATACTTGATGTTATTATTTTACGGTGATTTATTTTAAAAGGCACAAAAACGTGAATCTTGTAGGATACATTAGCTGAAAATATTTATAGTCTACACTTGGTTCAAAATATTCTTTTTTATAAAAACGAACTTAAACATACTGCTTGGATAACATAAAGCACTCTTTCCGTGCCCAAATGTTAAAAAAAAGTCCAGTTAAATTATAGACTACAGGGCCTCCCCGGTGGCGCAGCGGTTGAGCGCTGGGTTGCGAAGCTGCCCGCAGCCTCTGCAACGCAGGTTCGATCCCCGGCTGCTCCCCGGCCACCGGAGGAGGGTCCCCCATGGCGCCGCAGACCTCTCCTGCCGCCCGCTGCTCCCCTCAGCAGTGTACTTCGGTCCTTCTGCCTGCTCTGCTCCCTGCTCTGGCTCTGGTGAATTCTCTCACCCTCCCGCGCTTCTGACTGTATCCAGTGCTAGTATAAATAAATAAATAAATCTTTAAAAAAAAAAAAAAAATTATAGACTACAATGATTATAAAAATCTAAAATTGGTAATAATTCTACCTACATTCCTCATTAATCTAGTATCAAAAGTTATTTTTCATTTCTTTTTTAAAAATACTTGAAATGTACTGTTGGGGTAGTCTTTTCATTATGTATTTATTCAGCTAACTTTGGGTGCGGGATACTTTCAAGTATAAAAGTCCTTTCCAATGGCTAGTGAAGATAACATTAAAATGTTTGCCTAAAATACACTCCATAGTTCTCAAAGGGAGTCTGACAACCTATTAACTCTTATTAATTTGGTTCAAAGTACCCAACAACAAATGTGCGCTTTTTGTCACATGGCTGTATTTTAACTGTCAACAGATACCTACCATTTTAAACACTTTGTTTACTGTACCAATAATGATGACTACTTTCCCACTGAAAATTAGTTTATGGGCAATACCTGGTCAACGAAAAGGACTGTTTAACCGGAAAAGATCAGCAGCCTGAACTTTACCAATAGTTGTAAGATAAACTTCAATCCTCGCTTGTTCAAACAGTCAGCAATATGTAGGTCAAAATAAATTAGTGAGCTCTCCATCACCGTCTACCTAGCAATTTGCAGATCAACGGAGGGAAAGAAGCTGTTCCAGTGTGACTGATGCTAACAAGTTCAAAATTCAAGGCAAAGTATGCCTCTATTAAAACTGTAACCTATCAATTGTGAACAGAGTTCTCTCGCTGGTGCTCCTTTTTTAAATGAACCCTGCTCAAGTTAAAAAAAAAAACAAAAACAAAAACAACAAGAAACAAACAAACCAGCCTCTTTTAAAATGTAAATGCCTCTTTTCCCCAAAGTAACTTACCTAGGAAAATCTAAAGCAGAAAAGAAAACGTAACATTTAAAAAACCTAAAGTGATCGGTAAAACCAACCCGTCCCTCCCATTGAGCACGGCGAGTGTTTCCAATCTGAGGCACACACCATCGCGCTCACCCACAACGCTGGAAAGTCACCCCGGTGTCCAAACCATCACTCCCCAGGACATACTCCTGCTACTCCCGCTTCAACTGGACCCAAACTCGGGCCATTCCCTGCGCCCGGACACTGAAATACACGGGGGGGAGGGGGGATCCAAGAAATCAGACCTATCAGGTGCCGGAACCTTCCTCCAGAGCGGGGTCAAACCCGCGCTCGCCCCGAATGTCACGGTCCCCAGAAGTCCGCAGCCCCTCAGCGCCGAGTACAAAGAGGCCTGGGCAGGGAACACCTGTCCTCGCCAGCCCGGGAGACGGGGGAGCGCAGCCCCGGAGCCCCCGCGGCCGCAGCCCGGGGCGAGGGGCGGACCCGGCCTCGCGGACCCCGCAGCCCACCCCGCTCGCCGCCCGCCGCGAGGACCCCCGCCCCGCCCGGCCGCGGGACCCACCCACCGCGAGCCCCTCTCGGCGCTCCCCGGCCGGACGAGCCTGCCCGGCGCCCGGGCGCGCGGCCTCGGCGGCGCTGCCACCTCATCCCTCCGCGCCGCCCGCCGCCCCGGCCCGCGCCGCCGCCCCGGCCCGGCCCGCGCCGCCCCCCGCCCGGCCGCCGCGCCGCGGGTCCCCCCGCCGCCCGGGCCCGCCGCCCCCAGGCCCGAGCGCCCGCGCGCCCCCACCCGCGGCCGCCGCCCGCGTCCCGCTCGGCCGCTCCCGGCCCGCTCCCCCCGGCCGGGCTACCTGGAGGCGAGGGCGGCGGAGCACTTGACCCAGGGCCCCAGGTCGCACAGGGCCCGGTGCTCGGGGTCCCGCTCCTTCTCCCGCTCCACGTGGTAGGCGTAGATGGAGAGCAGGATCCCGGCGGCGCACACTGCATACCGGGCCACTCGCTCCCACCGCGGCACCGACACTCTCAGCAGGACGGGCGCCGCCATCTTCCCCCCGCCGCCGCCGCCGCCGCCGCCTTCGCCGCCGCCGCCCTCCGCCTCCACCTCAGCCGCCGCCGCCCGTCGGGGCCCGACCCAGCCGCCGCCGCTACCGCCACCGCCGCCGCCGCCGCCGCCACCGCCACCGCCGCCGCCGCGCCCCATTGGCCCGGCCGCCTCCTCCGGGCCCCGCCCCCACAGGCGCGCGGCCCAACCGCCCCGAAAGGAGAGAGCCCGGCGGGGCGGGGAAGGCGCGCGCGGGCGCGGGGGGAGGAGCGCAGCGCGCAACCGCCGGGGAGGAGGGGCCCGCAGGAGGAGGCCGCGGTACTGGGCCCGGGGGCGGGGCCGGGGAGGGGCGGGGCCGGAGGGCGGGAGGGGCGGGGCTTCGAGAGGGGCGGGGCGGGGCAGGGCGGGGGCGGGAGGAGCTTAGGGGGCGCGGTGCAATAAATACATTTTAGATACCAATGTGACTGAGCGAGCCCTCGGCTCCTCCCCCTGGGGGTGGCTGTGCCTTTTTCCCTTTTTTATTATCTCTTGAGAGTCTGACCTAATCCAAATTAAATGATCTGATCTTCCACACCACCATATCCAGGCCCCTAGTGTTCAACAAGTGTAAACTTCACTATTTTTTTTAATTACTTAGGAATGCCTTGCTTCGCCGTAAACTGAATCTGAGATGGTTTAGGGTAAGTTCATGTAATACGAAAAGTATAAACATGAAATAAAAAATCAGAGACAGAGAAAAAAGTCAGAATAAAAGACACAGAAAAAGTCAGAATAAAAGAAAAGGCCAGGAGAGGTGTAAGAACACAAATAAGCAGGGGTTTTGCATGGTTATTAAAACTGAGCCATAAATTTGACTCTGAGCTTCCTGGTGGCCAAACTGTCTTTAAGAAGAAACACGCTATTCTTGGAGATTGCCAGCCTTTCCCTGGTTGTGGCTCTCAAAATTTTTTAGGTTTGTATACGGTGATTTTTGAGTGATAAGCAATATCCTTGTTGTTGGATAATAAATTACACCAAATTTAGCAGATTAAACAAAAACAAACTTGTTGCTCACAGTTTTTGTGGGTCAGATATCTGAGTGTCATTGTGCTGAGTCTCTGGTTCAGGATCTCTCCGAAGACTGCAGTCAAGGTGTCAGCCAGTGCTGAGGCATCTCAATCCTTTCAAGGTCACTCACATGGCCATTGGCAGGCATCAGATACCTTTGGCTGTACACATCAGTTCCTTGCCACTGGCACCTCTCTGTAAGAAGCAACTAGCTTCCCTAGAGCAAGGGATAAGAGAGAAAGATGGAAGTCAATCTTTTTTGTAACTTCACCTTAGAAGAGACATCCTGTCACTTTTCTATATTCCATCCCTTAGAAGCTAATCCACAACCTAAGAGCCTTCCCATCGACAGATAAATCGATAACACAGTGAGTGTTTAAGTTAGAATATTATTTAGCCATAAAAAAAGAGAAATCCCACCATTTACAACATGGATGGACCTTGAAGATATTATGCTAAGTTAAATAAGTCAGAGAAAGGCAAACAATGTATAATTGCAGTTATATGTGAAATCTGAAAAAGCTAAACTCATAGGAACAGAGAATAGATTGGTGGTTGTCAAGAGCTGGAGGTAGGGGAAATGAGATGTTGATCAAAGAGGACAAGTTTCCAGGTATAAGATGAATTAATTCTGGAGATCTAGTGAAGAGCATGGTGACTATAGTTAATAATACTGTATTGTAGGGCCTCCCCGGTGGTGCAGTGGTTGAGCGCTGGGCTGCAAAGCTGCCCGCAGCCTTTGCAGTGCTGGTTCAATCCCTGGCCACCAGTGAGGGTCCCACATGGTGTGCGGACCTCTCCTGTCTCGCCCGCTGCTCCCCTCAGCAGTTTACTTCATCAGTCTGCCTGTTCTGTTCTCCGCTCTGGCTCTGGTGAATTCTCTCGCCCTCCTGCACTTCTGACTGTACCCCGGCTCATGTATAAATGAATAAATAAATATTTAAAATAAAATATGTATTGTATATTTGAAAGTTGCTAAAAGAGTAAATCTTAAATGCATGCCCTCTCTCCCTCTCTCTCTCAAACACACACAATGGTGATTGTGTGAGTTGACAGATGTGTTAACTAGCCTATTGTAGTAATCATTTTACAATATATACAAAGATTGAATCATCACATTGTACATCTTTTTTTTAAATTATTATTTATTTATATAAGTACTGGGTACACTCAGAAGCACGGGAGGGTGAGAGAATTCACCAGAGCCAGAGGGGAGAGCAGAGCAGGCAGAAGGACCAAAGTACACTCTCCTGCAGCAGGCGGCAGGAGAGGTCTGCGCGCCTTGTGGGACCCTCACCTGGCGGCTGGGGATTGAACTGGCGCTGCCGAGGCTGCGGGCAGCTTTTCAACCCAGCGCTCAACCGCTGCGCCACCGGGGAGGCCCCACATTGTACATCTTATATAATGTTGTATAAATTATATCTCAATAAAGCTGGAGGGGGGGGAGAAGAAGTTAATACCTAGTCCAGTTCATACTCACAGGGAAAGGATTACACGAAAGCATGAGTATCAGGAGGGAAGATCATTAGCTGCCTACCAGTCCTCAAAAAAATCACCATTTTCTCTGGTGGTTTTCATAAATCTAAGTGGATTAAATTCTGAAATCCTCTGAATTCCTTTACTTGATGACATTTCACCCATTTTTAGCTATTATGAAAGAAGATACCCTGTAAATGTTTTTTGTTGGATGCCAGCATTCCAGGAGTAGAATTAGTCAAATAGTATTAGTAAATAATGCCTCTGTCAATTCAGATCCTGCAGGAAGCAGATGCCAAAGTAGAATTAGATGTGTAGAATTAAAATAGGGGCAATGTCTGTATCAGATAAAGGAGAGAAGTAAGTATAGGTGTGGAGGAACTCCACACTACAGTGTATACAGGTTCTGCAGCCTCAGTCAGACTGACACGGAGCAGAGTAAAGAATGCAGGAGCCAACTGCAAGGCAGGAACGCCCAGGTCTAATACCCCTCCCATGCACAGTCACTGGCTGTAAGCAGCCTGCGGAGAGTTTGGCCTCAGTGTGAGCACTTCAAGTGGATCCAAAGTGCAGCAGCTGGAGGCTATTGGCCAACTGCCTCCTGGCAGCAAGATCTAAGTAGTGTGCCATGACAGCCACCACACTACCGAATGGTTTTCCAAAATGGTTGTACAAATTTAAGCTCTCACTAGCAATGAATGAGAGTTCCAGGCACTCTACAACCTCACCAACCCTTGGCAATGTCAGTATTTTTAGTTTTCAACAGTTTGGTGGCTCTGTAGAGGGATCTTAGGGTTTTAAAGTCGCCTTTACCTAAAGACTAACAAACTTGGGCACTTTTCCTATGTTTACCAACTTCTTTCATGTTCTGTTTTGTGAAGTGCCTACTCAAGTCTTTTACCCACATTAAAAAAAAAAAAAAAAACAGGTTGTCTGTGTTGCTCACAATAGTTTGTAGAAATTCTTTACAAGTCAGACATGTATACTGCAGATATCTTCTCCCACACTGTGGCTTGCCTTACTGCTGAACACTAAGAGATTTCTTTAAATTCCTCTTACAATTCCACTGTCGCTCACTTTGGAGCATTCAAGCTCCCACCTCTCCATGGCTCAGAGATCTCTTTCTCCTGGAAGGTTTTTCCCATCTCTATTGAAACCAGCAGGACTCCAGTAACACGAACTCAGCTCATCAGGCCAGAGACTCAAACCATTCCCTACCTCTGTCCATTTCTCATCTCTATGTGTTGATTTTGTTCTCTCAGCCCAGTTCCGTGCATACAGAAGGAAATGTGGCCCCTAGAGTTCCTCAAATTACAAAGAAGTCTTTGTTTTCTCCCACCAGAAAATTTCTGCCTCTCATCCCTTAAATCCAATTTGAAGAAACCTGATGAATTCCAACATATCAACCAACCTTAGTTCACTCATGGTCCCTAAAGTAAGAAAGAAAAATTACTAGAAATGGCAGCACCCCCATACCCACAGATTTTAGATTGCACTAAGGACCAGCCCTCTCAGAGAACTAGAAAGTGCAGATCCCAGAAGCAGGAAGGGGTGGGCCTCCCCTGGTGGTGCAGTGGTTGAGCGCTGGCCTGCGAAGCTGCCTGCAGCCTCTGCAGCGCCAGTTCGATCCCCAGCCACTGGTGAGGGTCCCACATGGCTCTCAGACCTCTCCTGTTGCGCCCACTGCTCCCCTCAGCAGTGTATTTCATCACTCTGCCTGTTCTGTTCCCCGCTCTGTCTCTGGTGAATCCTCTCACCCTCCCGCGCTTCTGACTGTACCCAGTGCTTGAATGAATGAATGAATAAATAAATAAATAAATAAATCTTAAAAAAAAAAAAAAAAAGCAGGAAGGGGTAACTGGGCAAATGAAACAAGGGGTTAACTCATTCAACTATTCCACAAATATCTACTGAACACATGCTATGTGTCACCCATAGTTTCAGGAAATGGGGTCACAGAAGACAAGATGATTGACAGCCCTTACTTCACAGAGCTCATGTTCTAGGGGTGAAGGGGAAGTTGAGTGAGGCTGTCCCTTTTGTGGGATCACAGAGAAAAGCCCTTGTCACTGTATGGGAGAAGCTCCTTTGCTCCCAGGCTGTTCATCAGTCTTTCTGTAGTGCCAAGAGGCAGCTAAAGTCTGTGGCTGGTGAACACAGCTCTGGAAAGCTGGTTTGTGTCAACCCAAGAGTATAAACTTCAAAAGTGTGGGCCTCCCTGGTTGCGCAAGGCATTAAGACGCAACCTATGAAGCTAACAGCAGCCACTGCAGCAAGAGTTCGATCCCCGGCCACATGGCGCAGCAGACCTCTCCTGTCTCACTCACTGCTCCCCTCAGCAGTGTATTTCAGTAGATCTGCCCATTCTGTTCCCCACTCTGTCTCTGGTGAATCCTGTCACCCCACACCCCGCATCTCTGGCCTGTACCCCAGTTCTTGCATGCATAAATAAATAAATCTTTAAAAAAAAGTGGTATATAGTAGGAACCCTTGGA